CGACTCCCTGCCCGGTGCTGGGCTCTGCAGGGCTTCCCCGTCACTTCTGTGCCGCAGCAACTTTTCTTTTCTACTACTTGTTTTCTTTAGCGGGGCCAGCAAGGAAACAACGCTAGATCAGCCCGAACGCGAGCACGCGCCCTGCACGGGCACGCACCGGCGAGAGGGAGCGGGTCCCTCCGCCTCTGCCGAGCGGGGGCGGGAGGGAGGCCGGGGAGCGGGGGACACACTCACCTTCTCGCTGCCGGGCTGTGCGCGCCGCTACCTTTATTTCACGGCGGCTCCTTATTTATTTATTCTCGTCCCTTCTCCGAGTCGAGGTTCCCCTTTTGCACCGTTCCTCTGGCAAAAACAGGACATCCCCTCCGCGAGTGCTGCCCCCCTCCCCCCCCCTTTCTCCGCCCACAAATAAAGAGCAACTCGGAGCAGAACGGGAGGGGAGACTTGGGGGGTGGAGGAGGAGGAGGAGGCTGGTACGGGAGCAGCCAGGCACCCTTCGCACTTGAGCGAGCGCAACTAGTTGCCTCCCGCGCACAGGCACTTAGAAAGTTTCCCTCGCAAGGGACGGGACTTTGCTAAGGGAAGGTAACCCCCTCCGTCCCTCCCTCCTGCCTCCCTCCCTCCTTCTCTGCCTCCCGAAAAGGTCGTCCCGGCGGCGGGGCGGCGCGGGGCGAGCGCGGGAGCCGCCGCCAACGCCGCGTGCCGGGGCCCAAAGGGGCCCCCAGACGGCACGGGCTCCCGCTGTCAAACCCGCATGTCACTGCTCTGGCGTGTCCCCCTCTTCCTCGGGGTACGCTACCCCCAAAAAGAGCACTGCGAAGCGGCCCTGACTTTCCAGACTCTGCCACCGCAGCAGCGGCAGGACCTCCTGCTGCACCCGCGTGCAGGATGCGGCTGCCTTTTTCTCAAGCAGAGATGGAGAAGAAGCCCTTTTCTGCCTGTCTGGGGGCTGAACTCCCCTGTCTGCTGCGAATCCAGCGTCTGTGTTTGGTCCTCTTAACTGCATAGTGTGGGGAAGGGGAAGCAGAATCCTAATCACCCGGTCACTTTTCACAGCCCCATCATTAGCCCCATGTTAGCTCCTCTTTAGGATTTCACTGGGCGGATTGGATGACTCTTGATTAACCACTTGTGGCTATGTCACCTTTTTTCTGTCAAGTAACTTCACTCTTCAAAGGGCATGACACAAATGTGAAGGAGTGAGTGTCAAAATTTAGGCCCTGTAGCTGTATAGAGATGGCAGAGAACTGTCTTAATTTTCAGAAGTACTGAATGCCAAATGCTCTTGAGGCCAGTGAGTCACACAAGAAGAAGACAAAAGTTACCAATTTGTGAAGATCCTTTGCTACCTGACTTCTCTTTACTCACTTTGCATCTAATGTACAATTTAAGGCATAGCTTCTGGTACTGCTTAAACTGTCTTCCTTTGAATTTCATCATTCGCATTCAATCATTTGTACTTATATGGTCATCTTTCCACCAAATAATTTCAAACTCATGACAACTCAATCCTCATGAAAACAAGTCTATAAAAACAGTGTATTTGCTGTCTTGGGAGAGTCGCCACTTAGAAGGAGAACAGACTTGGAAAACTCTTTGACCTGCACAAATACAGCTAGAAAAATATCTAAACTAGAAAAGCCCCCAAAAGCTAGCCTTCGAATTGACAAGCCAGAAAAAAAAATCAAGTGAATTTTGAAACTCAAAGGTAAGAGGAAGAGGAAGGCAGGGGAAAAGCAGGGGAAAAATCAGATCTGCAGGAAATAATTTAAATTGACAGCCCTGCTGCAGAGTAACAGTTGTGACTAGCTCCAGCACCCATCTCACTAACAGACTCATTTTGTAAGAAGTGCTAACAACTCATTCCTTTGGAGAGGGCTTTTCTGAATGGCAGAACAGTCAAATATGAGGTACTTGAACACGATAATGAAGGTTTCCGAAGTCTGGTTTCCTTCCACTTTACTTCAGTGAAGCAAATTTCTGTTCCAGGGAACAATCACCTACTAACAGGGGTTCTTTTAATAGACATATCACTTTAAAGCAAGTTTTTAACCATCTGTTGCGCCCTCTCTTAAAATGTAAGTTACAGATGATTTTAAAAGATGATCTTTGTTTGATGTGGCAGGTTTCAAACGGGGCAAGGATGGGCGAAGCGCCCTGCTGCTCTTTGGTGCTGACTCGAGGCAAATCTGCCATTCAGGGGCCTGGCGCTGCTGCCGCTGAGCGTGGCTGTTTTGCTGTTGATTGCAGTGGGAGTGGACAGCGTCATGCACAGATAAGTTGGTGCATTTCACCTGGATCAGGTGTAGTAAAGGAAGTCCTATAGGAACTGACTTCTTTATAATGAAACGCTTAATTATTCACAGTGGTTTATTGCAAATACAACTTCCACAGGTAGCAATTAGATGATGATTTCAGCTAAGTTGATATCTCTAAGTTGAAGCAAATTCCAGTGAGCTCAGTGGAGCTGCTTGCAGTTGTAGGTCCAAAATCTAGTGCAATATAAATAAATATAAACTGGCTCATATAAATGACTATGTGACCATACAGAGCCCTGCATGGAGAAGGTCAGGCTAGAAATAGTCCTAAGGCAGCCCAAGGAAGGACTGTAGGATCCACTTTTACACATGAATAGAAGAATAATACCTTCTCCATTTAAAGCAACAGGGGAATGTAAGTAGGCAGGATGTAATTATCTAGATTGGTATTTGGCCAGGCACTCCTACACTTGCATAAAGTGCCATAGGGTGTTTAATGACTGCTTGAGTTTACCTCTTATATAAAGACAGAGCTGGGGACCATACGCTTTGTGCTGGTTCCATTCTGAGTCAGCAGCAGAATGTCGCCCTGAACAAATACCAGTTCTTACAATAACTCGGAATTTCCTTGGAGGTGTTCCATGCAAATACTATAGGCCCAACCCTACTTATCTTGTGAAATCTAATGAGATGACAGCCATAAATAGTATGGCTCTGGATAATCATGTATGCATGTCTTACTAAAAACAGTATGGACTTTCAAATCTTTATAAATAATTTTTAAATTAAACCGATTCATTTTGCGCTGCACCTCAGTAACGAGCTCTTTTAAACAAAGGGATTGTACCTAGCTGTTCGGAGAAAATCAAAAGACAGATACGTACTTTAGGCAATACACTGTTCATTATGAATTTTTTTTGGAGTATCTAGGCTGTGATGCATATAGCATATGTACCTGTCATAGACTTTGTTTTACAAAGCTTTGGAATATAGTTTCTTAATTTCAGGTTGAAGTACGAAATCCCAAATTGGGTTAATTAGGCTAAGTTTGTTGATCTGTGTGCTTAAAGTTATTATTGGTGCTTCATGGCATTATAGTCATACAAAGAAAGAATGAATGGGGGTTCTTTCGCCATGGTTATCAGGTTTCAAGTTTAAAAAGAAAGTGACCCACCCTTTTCAGTAATTCGACATCCAGGGTTCAGCTGTGGGTTCAAAAGCAGGTTACAACTGGCTAGTCATTGTGGGCTTGAAGTGCCAACTGTGCCTTTAAATACGTTATATAACCTTTTTTTTTTTGTTTCAGCTTTCAAGTGTGCCATCATTAAAGTGTTGTTTAGATTTCCGTAATTTTTTAATACAAACACATCTGACCTCAATCATAAGGTTCCATGGCTCTGAATAGCTGAGCTTTCCTAATATTTTATTTTGAGGGCCTACATTCAATACTTCATCACATAGATATGTGCTGTGGACAGTGCCAAATACAGAGCCAGGGGTGTCCTCAATTATCTTTAGCACTTACCAGGAGAGGGCTCTGTTCTGCATCCCATACACAGACAGAAGTCCCTTTGCAGTAAGTGGAAGTTTTGAATTCTAAAGATTTCTTGAAATACAGCTTGTTAAACTGAAAGTAAAACCTGTCCGCTTCCATTGGCTCCGTAGGTAGAATGGAAATATATTTTAATTGTCATCCTGAAGTTATACCAGGATAGTTATTGAGGTATAGATTGTATGGTATTGCAACCCCAGGCTTTTCTTCCAGCATGCAAGGGTGCAGGCTACTAGTCCCTCATGTTTCTTTCCAGTTTTATTAGGATATGGTGCCTATCCTTAGAAGATACTGAGCCATATATTTATATATATATATTTATACATATATATATATAGGGATCCACATCTTCTCCATCACTGTTAGAACCACGAAGACTTTATCAGTAAAAGTCAAGACCAGTGCACGGCTCCATGGTTTGGCCCTTTCCAATTGTCATTCCCCACCAAAATGCCCAGGCGGGATCTGGAGTGTAGCAGGGGCCAAGGACCCTTCCTCGTGCTTGGTCTGGTGCCGCCTCCCTGTGTCACAGAGCAAGAGGGTTCAGTCTCACAGAAACCCTCCTGCAGCACTTGGCCTCGGGGCACGGAAGCAGTCCCTGAATGGTTTACTAGCACAGATACAGCCCGAAAGTCACTCCTGGAGACAACGTTGTGTCGGGCAACACGCTGGGGAGATGGACGAGATGTCAGGTCTGGTGTTGCCTCCCCGGAGACCGTGTGGCACTCCCAAAGGCCTGAGGATGTGCCCTGGATCCGGCAGTGGTTATCATGTGGCAGGGCCTTGTTTCACATCTCATTTCATCATGTACCAAATAATGAGCAATCTTTGAGTGATTTATAAACATGGGAACATTAGAATGTTTCATTAAACATTCATTTTGCTGCTCTGTGCAATTTTCTTATATTTGCTTTTTAATTGGTTGCACATTAAATGTAGTTTCTTGACCTTCTGATTCCTTCTAGGAACTTTCAGCCTTCTTTTAACATTTCTCTTTGCTTGTTTATATACATATACAACTTCCTTCAAGGTAACAGCTTGGTAATGGTTACCACGCTATTTCTATAAATCTATTCTCAAATTCTGAGATATATATATATAAAAAAAGCATTTGCAAAATAGTTTTCTCTTACATAAATAGGTAGTATAAACAAATGTGTGCTATAGTAATTTTACTGTCACTAATCAGAAATGATCCATTTAAGTGAGCACTCAGGTTTACTAGTGAATTATCAGGCATGTTGCCATTTCAAGTGAAACCAATGGCAAAACAGTCATCAGTTTCATCGTCCGCAGCATTGAGCTCATTATGTCATAAACTCAAACACAACCCCATGCCAAGAATTTTTTACTGCCCTGTAACATCATATTGTTGCTGTATTGCATTATAATGTAATAGCATATAGTCAGTAAAGAATAATTGGCCTTGAGCTTTTTCACATCTTTTATAGAAGTAAAACATCACTGCCAAGTGACATTACAAATGGCATTATATATTTCTAGTATACTAAATATAACTTTGTTTCATCCAAAACATGAT